TTAAACCAAGTTAATGTTAAATACAATCAACTCAAAATTGCTGCTTTTTAAAAACAGACAACACATAGCTGCTCTTTGTTTTGTTTTGTCTTTTGCAACAAAGCCCCACATCAAAGTACTGTATTCTCAGCATCCATCTAAGGATGAAGAACTGAGTGAAAGAAACTGCAATCATGGGGAGATAGGCAAGTAGATTAATTCAGTGTGGAATTTACCGAAATCAGGATGTAATCTTTGAGGTCAGTAAGAAGTAGAGGTTGGTGGAGTTTGTTTACAAGATAGCAGGTAAATAAATTCAAATTCGATTTTTATTTGTCACACACACACAACCATACACAGTATGACATGGGGGTGAAATGCTTGTAGCTGTACAATGCCCGACCATTAAATGACAGAAAAAAAGTTTTACAATATTTACAATTTACAGTTTACTACAAAATTTACAAATTAACTTAGGAATTTACAGTAAAGAATGTGCAAATAGCAGAAGAGATTATAAAGATTATAAATTATAGAAATTATAGGATTATAGGAAATGTGTGGTGGTGGTGCGTGTGGTGATGTGATGTGTGTGAGAGTCCCGTCTTATAGTGACGTGTGTGGGAGAGTCCAGTCCTACACCTGGTTCAGGCCCCGAATAGCCTGGGGGAACAAGCTCCTCCTCATTCTCTCTGTTTTGGCCTTAAGGGAGCGGAAGTGCTTCCCAGACCTCAACAGTGAGAAGAGCCCATTGTTGGGATGGGAGAGGTCCATCATAATCTTCAGCTTTGGACTTGCACCGCTTGGTGTAGATGGACAGCAGGTCAGGGAGCTCTGATTGAATGATGCGTTCGGCTGGGCGCACCACTCTTTGCAGATCTTGTCTGTCCTGCTTGGTGCTGTTCCCAAACCAGGTGCAGATGTTTGCCGTCAGGACGCTCTCGATGGTGCAGGAGTAGAAGTTCTTGAGCACCTTCAGTGGCAGATGGAAGTCTCTAAGTCTTCTGAGGAAGAAGAGACGCTGACGGGCTTTCTTAACCAGGGTGTTGATGTGACAGGACCATGACAGGTCCTGAGTGATGTGGACACCCAGGTATCGGAAACTAAAAGTAAACATTGTATGAGAGCAATGCATACATTATATGGAAAATATGCATTGCATAAGTTCATCTATTTGCGCTGTTGCAAGCATAATCATGCAGAATTTATCTTTAATCTTCAGAAGCTGCAGATATTTTTTAAAATATTTTTTTTAAAAATCATTATGAGAATATTTTATCAAGGACAAAACAGATCATTACAGCTGATATGATCACTGATATTCCAAAGTTTATACTTCAACAGAGTTTTTTTGTTTATTTGTTTGTTTTATTTGTTTGGTTCTTTACGATTAACCCGCTTTCAGGCTGCCATTGAGGCCTCTAAATGGCAGAGCAACTGTAAGCACCTTAAAGCAGCTGCTGCTGTGATTTTGTGCTATATAAATAAAACTCAGTTGGACTGAAGTTGTGCAAAAAGAACACGAAACGGCAAGGATGTTTTATAAGACAAGGATTTGTGATGACATTTTGGTATCTGTAAGGCTTCCCTTTTGTTGTTAAAGTGAACTTGTGTTCCCTACTGATTTATTTGATCACGTAAAACCAGGGAGATCAAGAATCTCTTGAAACCGAGCTCCTAGATGAGACTTGTAGACAAATGTACTGCTGTAGGATGCTCATATTATATTGGCCTAGAGTTTCACTCTGAGCCATGTCATACCACTCTAAATGATCAGTTTCATGGAATGTTTTCTGTCATTGGATCTGTATGATGTCACAGGGGATAGATTTTAACAGGTCTTTAGTTCAAATCTTGTATTTATGAGGGGCAACCAATCAGAAGAAAACTGGCTTAAAAAAAGCTCAAATCAAGTGTTTCAGTCAGAGGATGAAGTGAGGGGCTGTTTCTGTAAATAAGAATTATTTTTGAACAGTGAAGCATGCAAAGCTACTGCAGGAGTCCAAGAATACAATATGGAACTAGCAAAGAGTATAATAAATCCAATCTCCCTTCTAGGAAAATTTGTGAAGTTATTTTCATTGGATTATTGGATCACACTGAAACTTTAAAAAAAAAACACAGGAAAAAAGAAAAATGCTGCAAAAAGCACCGAAAATACAACTGAAGTTGAATAAAATACAATAGTAATAGAACATAGGAACATTTGCTCACTGATGCTGGTCCGTCACCTTATTGTGTCCCCAGAAACACTTTTGTTTTGATTTACGTTGTGTTTTATTCAACTTATGTGGTGTTGTGTGTGCTTTTGCAACATTTTTTTAATTCGCTGGCGTTTTCTTTCCGTTTGACCTCTAAGGGCCATGGAGTAAATGAATAAATTAATGTTAACAAATATGTGTTTAATTTTGTGCACAATGTGCTAACAATGTGGGTAGATCTAGAAAATTAGAAGTATCGAGATAAGGTTATTCAGACAACATTTTTTTTCTTTTGTTTATAAAAAAATGTGTTAAAACAAATGTATATACACACATACACAAATCCATCCAAAACCATTCAAGAAGCCTGTTTTTTTTTAATGCTGTAATGTTATTTTTGTGCCAAGAAAGCTACATATTGTGTTGCTTTCTCCCAGGATGGAGGGAGAATTGGAAAATTCCTGGACTTTTAAGCACAGTGGGAAGAAATTGTGGAGAAGCTTGTTTCCTATTTCAAAATACTTGATTTGCACAATGAGAAAGTGGAGCTGTGTATCAGCAGCTTGCAGAACCCATCGTGAGCCTCCTGCCTTCACTTGGTAGCCAGCCACGCGGTGAGAACGTTTCAGTGGCTATGGATGTGGTCTCTTTAGTTTCTCTGTCCTATTTTGCTACTGTTCCTGAGGCATGTCATCACATTTTGACTGCACCTTATGATCATTTAACAAGCTATCAAGTTGTGTACTGTGCATGATTATGATTGATGCAGTTGCAATGGTGTCAGTATGACTGATGCTATCCAGCAGCCTAAGAATGAGACTTCCTGTTTAAAAAGAGAATTTGTTTATATAGAAATCTGTGGTAGGGGGGGGAGTGAGGTGTCGCGTTTGGAGACACACTTTTAACATCATGTGTCAGTTCCGATGTTTTTCTTGTCTCGAGGAACATGGTAAATTAATTTTGATGAGGCCATTAACTCATCATCTACAACGGAGATGGGATCAATCAGCCAATCAGTGTTTGGCTGATTTTTAAGGCACGTACTTGTCTAGACAGCTACGACTGTAGGTGCTGGAAACTTTACAGGTTACATGGTGAACAGAAATGTCCTGGCAAAGACAGAAGCCGAGCTACAAAGAGCCAGAGCAAGCCAAGAATAGACTAAGGTAAAATTAAAAGAAGGTAAAAAAAAAAAAGAGAGACCTGTCCTCCCACTCCTTCACTGGATCCTGATGGGGTTATGTTTTACTGCTTTTATATAAGCAGCTGTGCAGCACAGGTTCAACATCCCTGAGAATTCAAATACATAACATGGGAAAGCAGTACGTGTGTAATCAATGGGGGGCTGCAAGTATTTTACCAAAACATAAAAGGAAAGACACCCATGTGACATTTCTTGGTAGGACTCGGACAGATTTTGAAGACTTGAGTGTAGGTGGATGATTGTAGTGGCAATGAGAGAGGCAAAGGCCAAGACATCTAATTTCTTTTTAATAAATTCTGGGTAATTCAGGGACCCTTCAAAATAACAAACGAGCAATATGCAGTCTCTGTGCCAAGGACATGGCATGGTTACAAAGATGTTCCTCAAAAATCCTGGAAGTTTCTAGCTTAAGCAAAAGGTATGGGTCAGATGAGATGGGGTTTAATCACATCTTTCACTGCATTTCGGCTTATGTAAGTGAAAATGTTTCAATTTTAGAAAGCGGAGGCGGACACAAGAAGAGAGATGGTTAGCCTGTGATTTCCCTTTTTTCCAGCAGAAGACCTTAAATCAACTTATATCAAACTGCATTCCCAGTTTGATTTAAGTCATGGAGTAAGGAGAATTTTAAGGATTAAATTATATTGTTTAGATCCGGGAATCCGTCTACTATAGACTTAAATCCGGCTCACTGGATGGCTTTGGAAAATGTAAATGAGGGCATAAATTTTAGACTTCTAACTGTATTTTCATAAGTTTTACTGCTTTTCCTACTGATAAAGACATCGCCCACTACCATTCATACCACACCTAATAAGTAATAGATAAACAAATAAATGACAGAAACGACTATAGAAATGTAGCTTTTACACAGTGGATCCAAACAGGAAAAAGTTTTGTACAAATTATCAAAAGCTCTGTTTTATAACTACAGGACAGTCTAAACCAGCGGTCCTCGACCTTTTTTGCGCCATGGACTGGTTACAATATTTTCACGGACAGGCCTTTAAGGTGTCGCGGATAAATACAACAAAATAAAACCAGTACCGGTACCAAAAAAAAGAAGATTTCCTCATAACACACAAAAAAGACCCAGGGAAAACGAGTTAATGATAACAACGCTAAACAAATAATGATAAAACCCCTGAAACATAAACCATAAACGACTCACGGACTGGTACCGGCCCGTGGCCCGGGAATTGGGGACCGCTGGTCTAAACAATGAGCTACTAGAACTTTAATTCATTCATTTCTTACTATTTAAACCCAAGAGGTTTCTTTCATTTGCTATCGCTGCATCTCTTTTAATGTAGAAAAAGTGAGACATATTGTTGAAACCGCACTTTTTCTACATTATGATATCGCAGAGATTACATGTGTAGTTAAACTTCTGACCTAGAGGTGACAGAAAAAGTTCATCCAAGCCTGATAAAAATAAAAGACTGCATGTTAAAGATGTTTGTGGTCACACCGCCATCATCCTTTTGTTGTGAGTCGCTTGACTTTCTTCAATAATTGCGTTTGACTTTTGGCCAAGACGCTTGTTGGCATAACTGTCAGTCTTCTGAAAGCTCAGCTGGTTTTGAATCCTAAATCTTCTCATTTCCACCCTGCAGGTCAAGACGGAAGACAAGTCTCTGGAGGAACGTGGACGAATCATGATTTCTCTGAAGTACAACACCCAGAAGTCTTGCCTGGTAGTGGGCATCATACGCTGTGCTCACCTTGCCGCCATGGATGCCAACGGCTTCTCCGACCCCTACGTCAAAACGTCAGTATGCAAACACTGGCAGGCACATCCAAAAAGAAACTGGGGCTGTTTTACCATCTCCAGGGAGCAGATTTAATAAGGTTAAAAACCCCAATTAAGCAAAAAGGATAATAAGGGATTTACTTTGATAGTTTTGGCAGTCATTATCTATCAGTAGTAATTTTATTTTCATTTTATTCACCCCTGAGATCTGCGCCAACCTCTGATGAGGGAGCAATCATAGAACCAGACAGGTGCTCCAGATTAACTTATTTGGAAAAGGGAAGAAAAGCAAACGTGTTTTTACCACGAGCGTGATGCTGCAGTTTGTTGTACTGTACTTAATATAACTTCATACACAGCCATGTTTACACACCTTTGAAAGCACTCACTTTCAGGTCTACCTCTACGTGCTTAGATAACAAGGACAGAAGTGTTTGCTACAACCTGTCAGATGATCTTCTGTTTCTCGACTTGCCAGACTTCAGTGTATCTCTGGTGACTGCAGTGGGCACTGTTGTGAGGAACAAGAATTTATAAAGTCATGTACAGAAGTTTGAGGAAGTAAAACTGTCTAAGCTTGATAATCAGTTTAATCAGAGCAGAGGAAATAGAAAAGAACATACACTACTCTCACTTTTTAGTCAGAGTATAGCATCAATCAAGTCAATTAAACCTGTGGGATATTGATCTGGTCAAAGTAGCAGAGGAGGTTGTTAATCAGTTTCGGCTGCTTTGATGTTAATGAAATAAACAACGGGTGCACTGGAGGGGCAACAATGAGACAACCCCTAAAACAGGAATGGCTTTACAGGTGGGGGCCGCTGACATTTTTATCCTCCTGATTCTTTCTGACTGAAAAACAAAGCATGGAGGAGATACCAGGAAACGGGCAGTTACGCTGGGATAGATGTACAGGGCTGTAGAAGGCCCTTATCCCATCAGGAGGACCGGGTTACGAGGAACAGGATGAGCACTGTCGGAGTCCTACCAAATAACCTCCAGCAGGCCAGTGATGCGAATGTCTCAGACCAGACAATCACAAACAGACTTCATGAGAGTGGTATGAGGGCCCAGCGTCCTGTAGTGAGCCCTCTGCTCACCCCCGGCCTGATTGGCATAGAACACTAGAACTGGCAGGTCCATCACTCGTACCCTGTGCTTTTAACAGATAAGAGGAGGGTCACCATAAGCACATGTGACAGATGTGAAGCGGTCTGGAGAAGGTTATGCTGTAATGTTGTTCAGTATGACCTCTTTAGGCGTATTCTCAGACATCATGCTAGTGCAGTGGTTCCTGGGTTCCTCTTAGAGGACAGCAATATCCCTCATGTACAAGATTTTGCACGCAGTTGCTGGAGGAAGAATGAATGGATACTATTATCCAGTCCATATTAGTATAGAAATCCAGCATGATTTATTTTCCCATTAAGATCAGATTGTGTTCTCAAAATATTCCTTTAATTTTTGGGAGCATGAGCATCTTAGACGACTTGATAACATTTCTATGTGGATTTTTGGTGGCTCTATGTTGCCTTTCAAGAAAAGTTTTGTAGGAC